TTTCAGGGCTTTTCTGGACCTGCTAGAAATCTGTGTCCAGAAAGGAAAATGTCTAAGAATGTGATGAAAATAATTAAAAAGAAATTGATGTCTATAAAAATGTAACACTTATGGTTACAGTAGATGCATATTATGAAATATAGGGATACTAGGACTACCAGTGAGTCTTCAAAAAAATTTTTAAATAGTTTTAAAGATAACTTATATACTTTGTACAATAAAATATTGACCTAATGCTTACCCCCCTTAAAATACAGATAGATCAAGAACTGTGTGAGTCATAGACAGTTAACAGTAAATTTGTAGTAGGTTATTAAAACAGCTATATCTGTGTGTGTATATATGTGTGAGTGTATGAACTTTAAAGTTCATTATCTTTAATATAAAGTAGTCATATATGAAGTTTTGTTTTTAAAGATTCTGATGCTTTGTGTATGCATTGTATTTAAACCCAAAGTATCAAAAGTGGTTCAAAAAAGTTCTAAGTAAAAAGGTAAAAATTTACTAGTGGTTTGTCCTGGCAATAATTTGAGAAACCAGAGTAGTCCATCTGCGTGTGGCCAATTTAAGGGTGAGGATTTTCTTTATGCACTTACCTAAGAGTTTCTGATACTATTTAGAGTCAGGAAAATACAACAACAAAGTGTTAAATACAGTAGTCAGTTTCTGATTAAATAAAAACAGAAATCAATACATGATATGCATTTTTGTTAATAGTATTTCCTTTTAACTAAAACTTTGGACACTTTTTATGGATTTCTGCTTAAGAATTATTAGAAATTGAATCTGGCAATTTTATAAGTTATGTAAGATTATAAAAAGGGATGCCAATTTTAAGCAATGAATGATTATTTTAATAATCTTGTCTTTGTAGAATATAAGTGTAATTTAGGATATGGAATATTTCAAATTTAATTTTCTGAATTCTTTAAATCCTGAGTTTTTTTCTTATTAAGTTATATTTATTTCTCTCCCAATTCCGATTCCAGGTAATAAGTAGTTGAGAATGTTTTATTTTTAATCTGACACAGTAATTTGGTATGTGATTGTAATTAGAATGAAAAAAATGTGATTCAGGGATTGATAGTTTGCAATTTAGCATTGCTTTGGCTATGATTCAGTTCTGTTACTGTTAGGACATTTCGTGGGACTAGATGAGAGGGCACTGTTTATTTAAAATTTTGTTTCCGTGCTCCTGATTTTTGGATTATAGGCCATTTGGAGCCCCTGGTATTCCTAGAGTCTCCTTGGGCTTTCTTAAAAAATATATCTTCAGGCTTGGAAAAATACAAGTGAATTATAAGTTGGAACAGTCTAGAAGTGGATAGATGAATATCCTTGTGTCTAATCGAACTTATTCTAGTTTATAGCCTCTTGGTAAGACTCTAGCAGTGGTTCTCAAACTCTGCTGTGCAGAAGCTCAGAAACATTTTAAGGGCTTGTTAAAACATATTAATGGGCTCCCCCAAGTTTCTGACTTTGTGGACCTGGAGTGGGAGCCCAAGAATCTGCATTTCTAATCTCTTATGTAATAGCACCACACTTTGAGAACCAGTAAGCCTACAGAATCAAGGCATACTTAAGAACAGCTAAGAGCTTTGTCACTTTGAATCTGCAGTAGATGTCTTATACTCAAGAGTTAAGGTATGGGATTATGATAAATTCTGGTGTACTGATAAATTCCTGTTTATTTTTTCCTTCCTTCCCCATACTGTAGATTGCTTGTGAGTGAGGACTATGTCATACTTATCTTTGTATCTGGTCCCTGGTTCCCTGGTTTTACATATTAGGCAGCTGGTAAATGTTTATAGAATGTGAATGAAAGAGTGAACTGTGGGAATGGCATGGGTGTATCCTTCTATCTCTTCTACTACTCTGATATGTATATACTTTGTATGTGTTCCGGATTTAACTAAAGGAAATTAGTTAGGTTTGAATTTAAAGGAAAAATGTAGATATCATTAAGAACTGCACCTTTAAACTGTGCCCTACATATATAATTCTATTTAAAAAAATGATTCCTGTTGATTTTATTATTCTCATTTAAGCTTGTCTTCTTCTCACTTAGGCAAATTATTTAATGTCTATAACTCAAATTGTTCATCTTAATATGAGGGCAATAACAGTGCTTCAGAGTACTATTATTAATACTTGCTGAGTATTAAATAAGTTAATAACATGTAAAGGTCTTAGTAGATGGTAAGTGCTGGCTATGATGATGGTGGTATGGGTGTTTATCCAAAAACAATATTGTGTTTCAAGCTTTCCTTAATTATTTTTAAAGAGAGATTTTTAAATTGTGGGGATTAAAATGGAACATTTTGAACTAGACAGTACTTGTTGGTAAACCATCTGATAACTTACCAAACTGCTAGCAGAATGATGTTACGGGCTGAGTATCTACTTTGAATGGAAAGGGTAGGACATTGCCTCATCATTAAATGAGTATCAGGGTGGGATGTTTCAGCAAAACCTCTTTATTTTCTGCTGTGAAATCTCTAATGAAGATATAGTCATCGTATACTTGCATTCTGATCAACTTTCTTTGAGACTACTCTTCAGCTCTTCCAGAATATAACAAGCCATTGTTTCCAGCACATTGGTAAGGGGAAGACATGGGTATGCCTTCTTGGAATGCTTTGAGGCACAAATGCATTTAGGCTTACCGTCCACTGGCCAGAACTTAATCACATGGCTATCCCTGCCACAAGAGTGATGTAAGGTGCACTCTTAGAGTGAAGGGGAGAATATTTAACATTTCTATGTCATTAAAGCAATTTATATCTAAAAGAAAAAGTTGGAAAATTAGCCTGTTATCTTGAATTGGTTAACCCTATTGTGATGGATTCTTTTTTAAAGTAGTTGTGAGAGGAAAAGGAATTTAAAAGCATGACTAAAATGTAAAATATGTAATTTTTTCATTTTGGTTTTATTTTAGCTTCCTTGTGGTCATAGATGTAAAGAGATGTGCCATCCTGGTGAATGTCCCTTTAATTGCAACCAAAAGGTAAAACTTAGATGTCCTTGTAAAAGAATAAAAAAGGTAAATATTTTAAGTTATTGAAAATATTTTTTGTGTAAAAACATTTTTTTGGTCTCTGTTTTGGTAGTTCTGTGGCTTTATTTTTTTGCCTTTTAGTTTTAAGATCTTATTTCTTAGAATCCTTTTATTACTAGCCCATCTATTTCTATAAGCAGTTTAAAAATCACTTTGTTAGTCAATTTAGTTTTTTATGATTTAATATTAAAAGAAGATTATTTTATGTTGGAACCAAGTTCAGTGCCCTTTTTTGGATAGAATCAATGTGCTCTAGATTTGAGGTCTGCATTGTAATAAAGCGAGTTTCATGGTTTAAGAAATGGTTTGGAATTAACCTTTGTTGCTCTTATTTATGAAACAGTTTTTGCCTCTGTATTCAGCTGTGAAATGTTGCTTTAAAAAACCTCACATGGCATAGCCTTATAAAATTATAAAATAACATTCAAACTTGGAAAGAATTCATTTTAAGGTAAAATAGTGGCAATGAAGTAGTAGAGGAAAAAGGCAAAAATGAACTATTGGAAAGCTTGACAGAAGCCAACTACATGCTGTTAAGTGAGACGTGAAGGAAGAGTCCCCCTGAATTCTCAAGTGTCAGTGCGGGCTGGTCTTTTTCGTCAGCTCTCCTTTTCTTTGACTTCCCTGGTGACACTGCCAACTCCTTTGACACTTTCTTCTTTCTTGACCTTGGATTTTCCCTATCTTCAGTTATTCTTGTAACTCCTTTTTCTCTTCATGTTCTTATGAAAATTCACTAAAGCTAGTTACCTTTTTCTTCTCTTTAAATTCACTCTTTTATTCATTAATTCAACAAATATTTGTTGAGAATCTTCTACTTTTATTGAGGATCTTTGGTTTTCATTTATTTTTACAGCTCCTACTATCCATTTCCTGAATTTAATTTTGTAGGCTTCACCCCTCTGGAGTTGAGTCCCTAAATTTTAGATACTTAAATTGGACTACCTTTGCATGAAAGTAATACTTAATTTAGTCACTTTTACTCTGAGATGTCTCCCAAGTTTTCTGTCAAATCCTGTTACTGTCCAAGTACAGTTTACCACCTGTTAGAACATTGGCAACAGCTCATTCTTGAACTTTGACAGTGGCCTTATAGCAGATTTTCTTGCCTCTAATCATAATACTTCCCTGATCTAAGTTCTCCAATGATTCTTTACTTAAAGGAAAAAAAATACTCATTTTTTAAGGGGTGTGTGTATATATATACAGACTCGGCATGCTAGGGAATACATGATATTACTTTGCCTTCTTGTCCCTTCTCATCCTCTAGCAGTCATCTCTGTGAATCTGTTACTTAAGTGCCCTAATTTATATGCTGTACTTTCCTTTAATCTGTGGCTATATATATTCCTTCTTTGTAAAACACAATGTTTTTTCCTTTATCACTCTGCTTACTTAAGTCCTGCTAATACTCAGTACAAGCATTTCCTTGTTGGGGAAGGTCTTCCTTCCCTGTCTCCCTGGGAAACATCTAGGTGTTCCTTCCTGGAGGCTTTCTTTGTTCTAGATTTATGACAGAGAGCTTTGTGATTCTGGGGAGTCTTTAACCTTGTTCCCTCACCTGTAAAATGGAGTCTATACATAGATAAAGAAATAAAAGAAGTAATGCTTACATAGCATTTAGCACAGTGACTGATATGTTTAATAAATAGTAGCTGATAGTATTAGTTTATCACTTGCCATATCATTACATTCTTTTCCTTATTGTGTCCCGTGTTCCTAACAGTGCTTGGCATGTAATAGATTAAAGTACCTTTTCAATGGGAAAAGAGATGGTTCTCTTTCCAGGCTGATGACTTAAATGTCTACAAAAACACAATATTTATTTTTGTCTCACGTTTGTTCATGTTGTTTTTCCTTTGTTTGGACTATCCTTGGAAGGGACAAGTCTGTGTTTATCACCAACCTCAACCATAAATGAAGAACTAATGAGGGAAAACCCTCTAGGTTATAAAATTCCATGCTATAAAATGCTTTCCCTAAAGTATATGTACTTTGCTTATAGGATTTGATGATCTCATTTCTTTTAACTTTGGTAGAGTTGAACTAAAAAACTAGTGTCTGAGGACATGGTGAGAAAGGAATAATTGATACAATAGATATACTGACAGCAAAAAGACATCTAGCAGGACAAAATAGGGAATGAATAAAAGGTAGACAAAAAATCTACAAAAGCAAAGTTCTAAGACTATTTAAAATAAGGACCACTTATTACAGAACAGAGCATAAATTGATCATAGATATGATGTCATGTGATCAGGAAAAGAGTAGATTAGTTTTCATTATTTCATTAAAGAGACAGTAAGTGCAAACATAAGTTTGGGGATGATTTCCATCTTTTTAAGAAAAGGTTAAATGGTTGAAAGAAAAATTATATATCTCTGGAAAACTCTCTAGAACTGCATGGAGTTGGTAGCCACTAGCCTCATATGGCTATTTAAATTTTAATTTTAATGAATTAACAGTACATAAAAAAGATATTGAACATTCAGTTCTTGATTTCACTAGCTACACATTGAGTGTTCAGAAGCCATCTGTGGCTAGTGCTACTCTTGGGTAGTGCAAATTTAGAATATGCCCATTATTTCAGAAAGCTGTGTTGGGTGGCACTACTGTAGAACGTTTTATTCCCTGGAAGCTTTGGAAGAATAACAAGAAAGAATAAAAGTAAAGAATAAACATGAAATGGAATTGAAGTCTTAGTAATTATTAAATGGATGATTTCAATTTTATGGTATCCACTTTTTTGCAGTTAAGAGAAAATAGAGGAATAATTGCTGCTTGAATATTTAATACTTGCAACCATATCACCATTAAGTGTTATTCAAGGTGACTGTTAAATAATGTGTATAACCTTAGACTGGTAGAGAAATTTTGCTTTTTTATGACATACAGCTAAAATACTGTATGATAGAACACTGAGGGAAAACTCAAAATAAAATTTAAAAAATTTTTATTTGAAGGAATTGCACTGCAATAAAGTACGTGAAAATCAGATTTCCATAGAATGTGACACAACATGCAAGGAAATGAAGCGGAAAGCATCTGAGGTAATGTCACATTAAATATTTTTAATGTGCTAATGGTCTTTCCCTATTAATTGTGTGCATTATTCTGTGTTGTTATGAACAATTCAAAATCTTACCTTTTTTTGCTTTTGTAATAAAAGCCCAATTCTATAGGCCAAATTTGAACACTCAGAAACGCTTTTTATTGTCCAGTCAATACTAGATTTTTTCCAGTCTTTGTACCAGTTGGTGTATGTGCTCAAAAATACATTTATTTATCTTAATGCTAGTGTTATCTCCTGAAAATTAGGTTAAAATAATACAAAAATAAGTTTTGAGGATTCTTTGCTATGTGGGTTACCTTTTACTGTCACTATTTCCCTCCATCAACATAATTAGTGAATAAACTATTGATTTTGTTTGAAACTATAGATTCCCTTTCAGATAGGACATTTGAGAAAAATAGTAATTTCTACTCTAGAAAAAGAGTGGCATTTAATAATTGACTATAGATTCTTTGTATGGTAACTCAAGAGAAAAAAATCCAGTTATAAAAGTATTTCAGCTTAGAGTGGTGTGACTGAGTTATGATCTAATATCTGTTATATAAGTTATTAAGCTGAAATGTTTATATAAGGCTATGACACTCTACCTCCCTTCACTTCCCAGCCTATTAGTATTTTGGTAACACTTGCAGTATAACATTTACATTTCTTTTAATATCTTTCAATTTAAAGCTCTCCAAAATTGCTACGGGTTAATGAAGCCTGAGAGGGAAGGTGTTAAAATTCTATATGAAATTTGTTGATTACAATGTTAATTTAGTTTAAGTGTCTATAAACAGATAAAAGAAGCAGAAGCCAAAGCTGCACTTGAAGAGGAAAAACGGAGACAACAGGTAACTGAACAAAATACCCAGATTGATGTCTTTTTGCATTATTGTTGGTTTTTATGCAAATAGAAGATATATTCCATGTTCAGACCTGGGCTAATCAACTCTGTTCTGGACTGAAAATAATGTAGTTCCTGCTAAAACAAAATTAGCCGTTCATTTACTTTAGTCCAGGTATACTGAACCTCTGAAGAACCTTGAGATCTCATGTATTCACAAGTATTTTGTATATTCCCTATTTACTTCCTTACCAGTTTTACCCATGCTCCATTGGTAAGAGTTTTAACCTCTCTTTTGGTTTGGGGAGTGGGGGTTGGCATCTCCTGGGGCCTATGTCTTCATGCATCTAAACTTACTTGAGTTATATATTAGTTAGAGATTATCTTAACAAATAAGTGCTGTATCATAACCAGTACATTTGTTTTAATGATACCATTTCCTAATTTCCTCATTAGATTCTTAAATGCAAGATTATCTGTTCTTTTTTACTACCTAGATAATAAGTATATTTCTGATATCTGCTGTTTACTCAGATATTTTATTGAACCTAGGCTCCAGAGAGTGGCTTAACTTTCTAATTGTGATAATGTAATTATTTGTCAGTTTGCATTTTGAGGTGCTTTATACTTACCAATCGATATATTTTATGCAAACTACTACTTAAATGAATGAGGAAATTGGAATTGGCATGACTTGAGGGAGGACATTAGAATTGTGTAGGAAGTAAAGGTGGACTAAAATGACTGATATTTTACGGTCTTTAAAGTTGATTTGCCCAATATCCCACCATAAGTTATCAGAGCTAATACAGTAAAACCTGTTGGCTGGTGATAGAATCCGGACCTGAGTACCACCTTTCAAATAAGCCCACCCACCATCTCAGAGAGACCTAGGTGTCATCTTACCTAGGCTACAAGCATTGTCCAGAGGACACGTCAGCAAGCCACAAGCCCACCTTTCCCCTGACTCCTCCCCTCAAAGAGCCTGCTAAAAACCCTGGCCATAAAAGGCCTCTAGACGTGTTAGAGACTCTCTTTCCTTTATTCTGCTGGCCAGACAGAGGGGTCCCTCTCAGGTTTGGCAGTAAACCTGTTTGGACTGTTGAGTTCACATCCCCTCTTTTTGGCATCTATCCCCTCTTTTCTTTCATCTATTCCCTCTACTGGAATACTGGGAAATTAAATTATTAACAATAGTTTTGAGTGTCCCTTCCTCCCCCTTTTTATAAACCTTTATGGATGGAAATCTTAAATAAATTCCCTGTTTATTGACCTTTTAAACAGTATATAGAATGTAAATTAAACTTGATGACTGTGAGTCTTCATTAAAGCATCAGTTATTTTACTGTGTCAGTAGTTTTCAAGTTTGTCTGTTTTTAATATATTTTGACATTTTTCTATATGTCAGCAAGCACTTGAGAATATTGACATTTTGGTTCATTGAAGAATGCCACTTTAAATGAAATATATGATTAGGTCTATTTCAAGTGGGGTTTGTGGACAAAGTAATGGATATGTTAACTGAAGTTTATATTTCCTTCTATTAAGTTCACAAAATCTTACATGGATATTACATATACATTTTAGTTAACTATCACATTTTAGTTAATAACAGTAGTAGTGTGTATTACATTATCATGTTTCAAAGATTAATAAGTAAGTTATTAACTTGGAATAAAAATCCACATTTTAAAATGAATGTCATCCAGTAATCTTTTTTAGAACTAAATTTTATATAATTCAACTTTATAAAATAGTCATTTTGATTTAAAGCATGGAGCATTTTTCCCTCAAAGAATTTTTACTCTTATGTTTTAAAATGTATTTGATAAAGAGAGTCATCAATTTATGGCAGCTTTTTTCTCTTTATTCACTTAAATTTCTTCCATATAAGCCATTAAATGTTTATTACCAACAATACTAAAAACTAGCATTATAAATATTTTTGTTTTCAATGGGTATCTTTTAGCACTTTCTAGAAGGTATATATATTGAAGAGCCCCAGTAGATATTAATGGTGTTATCATAAAAATAATGCCTGTATTTTACGGTACCCTGGTTTAACCAGATGTGTCTATATTTAGTATCAAAGTCAGGCCTATAGTCTGAAATAATCTCTTTTATTACTCCCCAATTCCCTTTCTGCTTACTTAAACTCTGAATTTGTTGAATATAATGATAAAGCATTTTTTAAAATACCAAATCAGTCTAGTATATACTATTACTATTAAAACATTTCCCAAATTGGTTTATTTTCATCCAAGTTGAAAAGTTCAGATCAATGTATGTATTGAATTAATAAAAATGATACTGTTTTGATTTAGGCTGAACTGGAGGCTTTTGAAAACAGACTGAAGGGTCGTCGGAAGAAGAACAGGAAAAGAGATGAAGTTGCAGTTGAACCAACGCTATGGCAAAAATACAAATACTATCTCCTTCCTGTGTGTGCAGTTGTGGTTTTAGTGGTTGCATGGTATATAGCCCATGATGTTGATTAAAAATTTTTCATCTGTTAATATACCTCAGGTTGGATTTAGATAAGTTGTTAAATTTGGAATATTAGAAAGCCTGTATTGTAGAACATGATACACACACACACACACACACATACCTGTATTCTCTTGCAGGTGTTGATAGAAGGACAAAATGTTAAGCTTTATCTTAGCATACTGGAAGTGGCAACATAACATTATTTAATAGTAAAAGCATGACTGAAATTGTAAAATAGTTCAGAGGGCACAGCTGCTGGCAGGGTAAAATGTTAGTTGTTCATTGTTTTTTCCTTGTGGTAACATAGTTGTTTCATTTTCTATTTTAAACAATATGGTTTTTTTCCTCAAAATTAAGATAAAACTTAGCTATATGTGCAGTAAAAGGAACATTTCATAATGTTTGATTACTAATTAAAAAGTACTTTTCTTGGTCATGCAACTTTGTATTTAAAAAAAAAATTACTCTCTGGAAGACCTCTAAATCGTAACATGTAGATACATAATTGGATTCCAGAAATTGGTTAATTAGTGATGAGTTTCTATCAGTTATTGAAGTAAATTTTTATGTGGTGTGTTCCTCAGAGGAAAATATAATTGTTCTCAAAAAAATGCCAGGCTAGATTCCTTACATGTAGCTATCTCTTGTGTAAGAAGCTTTCAGCTGAAGCTTGTATATATCTTTTCAAGGTAATGATAATAGAAAAACTAATATTTATGAGCAACATATGCTGAGCACAGGGCTTATGAACTTTATTACTTCATTCTCATTTCTTCTTACCATAATCTTGTAAGTAGATTGCATCTGGAAATAGCCAATTCTGATGGAAATAAGATGATAGAGAAACATCAGTAAGCCAAATCTGTTTGAACTGTAAGTCATTTTAAATGGTTTTGCTATTACTTTTTTGTATGATTGTTTTCATTAAACGGTTTCATACCAAATTTATAATCTAGAATATTTATTACCTAAAATATTTAAGAGCCTATAATTTTAGGCTGAACATTAATATCAGTGTAAAACTCTAATACTTGGTGCAAAACATAGTAATTGATAGATACTAGAAAGTGGTGGAAGTATATTTTAAACAGAAGTACAAAGAAGGATTTTTTTTTGATTAAGGTGTCATTGACATACAATCTTATGAAGGTTTCACATGAGCAACATTGTGGTTTCAGCATTCACCCATATTATCAAGTCCCCCCAGCCCCATTGCAGTCACTGTCTATCAGCATAGTAAAACACTATAAACATTACTAGTCTGTGCTATACTGCCTTTCCCATGACTTAACCTATATTGTCTGTGCTAATCATAATGCCTCTTAATCCCCTTCTCCTTTCCTCCCCAACCCCTTCCTTTTGGGAACTTGTAGTCCCTTCTTGGAGTCTGTGAGTCTGCTGCTGTTTTGTTCTGTCAGTTTTGCTTTGTTGTTATACACCACAAATGAGTGAAATCATTTGGTACTTATTTTTCTCTGCCTGGCTTATTTCAATGAGCATATTAGCCTCCAGCTCCGTCCATGTTGTTGCGAATGTTAGGATTTGTTTTCTTTTTATGGCTGAATAATATTCCATTGTATATCTATACCACATCTTCTAAAAGAAGGATTTTTAAATTTTGCTGACTTTAACTCAAATTTTGTAAATATTATGTTATTAATCAACTGTTTACCTGGTATCTAATATGAAAGGGCAGTCATTCCCTTCTTTTATGGTTATGTGTGTGTTTTGAGTAAAAAAATTTTTTCTCTCTCTCCCAGTGTTAGAATTACTGGGTTGGTGTTTTAGAAGCTCTAAATCAGAGCTGCTACACTCAAGTCATCATCTTACTCTATTCTAAAAATGAATATTAATATGAATTACTGGGTATCTACCTGGGAAACTGTTTTCATGTATTTCAGAATCTTGGCTTTATAAACAAGCCTGAAGCCTAGTTCATGTATGTCTGCTGGGCTTCTGTTCTTGCTTGATTTTCTTTATAATATGTGGGAAAGGAGTAGAGTATAATTTATATAGTGAGTAGAGGAAGGAGACTGGGTGAATGGTAAATTAATCTTTTGGCCATTTTTTATTTGCTTGACTAATAGCTCAGAGCTTGGTTAATTTACCCAAAGTATTACAACTGTTTATTTTTACTTACACAGCCGATTTGTTTCCTGTGTGACAGGTACTTTCTAGGTACTGGGGATAATGGTGATCCTTTCCCTTGCGGAGCTGTTTAAGGAGTAGAGGAGAGCAGACAAGCAGGCAAGAAAGAGGTACACAATAAAACGCACATGAGTTTCATGTGTGATAAGTGGTGTTAAAAAATGACAGAAAGGGTACAGAAAATGGTGAAAGTAGGGGTGAAGGGCACTAGCTACTTTACACTGAGAAGGTCCCTCTGAGATGGGACATTTGAACTGTGACCTGAATGACCTTCATTTGACCACCTGAGGGAAAAGTCTAGGAAGGAGAGAAAGCAACAAGTACCAAGTGTCTTAAGTTGGAGAGATACTTGGCATGGCTGAAGAGCAGAAAGAAGGGCTGGCTGGAGCTTAATGAATGAGAAGGAGAGCAGGTGTAGGGCCAGTTCCCATGGGGCTTCATAGAGTATGATGAGGAATTGGGTTTTTTATTCTAGTCACAGAGGTCAGTGTTGGAAGGTTCTAAGTGGGGAGTAGACAATTGTTTTAATTTAAGACTCCTATCTGCTGGCTGCTTTGTGGGGAAAGGACTGTAAGCAGGGAAAGATAACAGCAGGGAGGAAGATGCATTGGGAGGCAGCCCAGTCTGGAGGTGCTTGTGGGGCTCCGATTCAAACAGTGACGTGGCTCCAGGTTCCATGTTCCCCATTGCCCTAACTGAGTCGCATGAGGATGCTGCAGAAACTGCTGCATGATGAGTGGAAGGGGAATAAAAGAAACAGGAGAGAGGAAATAAGTTCTTAAAGTCAAAATGAAGTGAAATTTCTTCTAAATGCTTATACTACTTTGTTCTGAGAGAGATAAAGTAGTATATACTGTCCTTTTTGCTTCAGTCTAAGCAAATTAGAGAATAAATAGAAAACAGCCACCAAGATTAACAGATAAAATTGTGAATGTGATGCCTTATGTTTGTTTCCTTTGTGTCACTGTAAAAGTTTATTCGCTTACTATTTGAAGTTTGTGGAATATTTATATCTTTTAATCTTTAAAGTGTATCAGTTTAAACACTTCTAGAGATTGACCAACACATGGTATTTGTATTTCAGTAATTTCACTATTCAAGCCTAAAGAAAATTCTAACAATTTCAGATAAATTGGTATAATCTTTGCTGAAATTGCCAAAGGAACTTCAGGTGCAAAACATTGAGAATGTTTGCTTTTTGCAAAGAAATCTAATGCTTGAATTTTGTGACTATAAATGTTAAAAGTTTTAAACACAGGTAAGTATCTGTGGTAGTGTTTAAAGACAACCTGTAAGAATTTTTTGGCTTTTCGTGTTGTTTCAGATAGTCCTCCTGACTCTTTGTGCTGTTAAGTTTGCCCATCCTTGGGTTTTGGGAAGTGAGATGGATGTCTAAGCTTTGGAGCAGGAGGAGACATAAAGTGACTATGTGCCTTCTCTGGTCTATGAAGTTGCCCTCTTTATTGAATGGTAGGGATTAGACCACCCTAAGCCTTGGGCCGTGGGGTCTACCTGTGAGGTTGGAAGAAGAAGCAGAGTATTGGTTACTACTACCTAGAAGAGATGTGAATTTGGGAGTTGTGGATGGAGCTGGGAACCCCTCTGTTCTCTAAGAGACAAGAGAACTGGTGTCCACCAGGAAGAATGCTTTCATGTACTTCAGAATCTTGGTCTATTGAGTAAGTGTAGGCCTGTTGCTAAATTTTCTTCCCAGTGAATAAAGGGAAAAATATTTAAATGGTGCTGTGCAGAATTACCCACATAAGCCTGAAATTCCACAGTCCTGATTCATTTGCATTAAAACACCTCTAGAGAGCTATTCCCAAACCACCCTCTTCACCCTCATCTGGTCATCTGCCTATCCCCTCATAGAACTTTTTCCTCATAACACTAAACAGTGCCTGTCATTGTAGTATTTGTTTTCTGTCTCCTTCATTAGGAGGTAAGCTCCATGAGAGTAGGGGTGCAGTTTTGTTTACTGTTCTAACTGCAGAGTGGGGAACTGGGCCTTGGTGCTGGCATTTATGTCCTAGGGCTGCCGTAGCAAATCACCACAAACAGAGGCTTAAAACAGCAGCAATTTATTTTCTCACAGTTCAGGAGGCCAGAAGTACAAAATCAAAGTGTCAGCGGGGTTGATTCTTCTGAACAGACAGAAACCATTCATAACTCTTTCCCAGCTTCTAGTTGTAGGTATCAGTTTCTGGTTTTTCTTGGCTTGTTGACGTCTTTCTTATCTTGCCTTCATCTTCACATGGCTGCCTTCTCTGTATCTCTGCTTGTCCTTTTCTGTCTTCTATAAGGACTCTCTCTGCATCTAGGGCCTGCCATGACCCAGTATAATCTCATTTTAACTAATTATGTCTGCAAAGACCCTATTTCCAAATGAGGATGGTTATATTCTTAGGTTCAGGTGGGCATTATATATTGGTGGTATACTATTCAGTGCTCAATAAAAACTTGATGAATGAATGAATTCATAGTATAATTCTACATTGTGAACTCCTTGGACATTTTTCATTACTGTCCTAATAATTGTGCTAAGAAGGTAGGGGTTAACAGGTCAGTCTGGTTCCGGATTGCTTGGGCTCCAGTTCTGGTTCTACCACTTCCTAGTTGTGAGATCTTGGGCAGTTATTTGACTTCTGTAAGCCTCAGTTTCCTCTTCAGTTAAATAGTGACAATAAATGTTTGCGATAATTGTGTATGTGCAACTATTTTAAAACACTTTACATATTTAATCCCCACAAGAGTCTATGCATTACTCTCACTTTACAACAAAGAAAACTAAGTTTGTTTCAAGAATTAAAAACAAAATAGATAATGTCACTTTGTGAAATGCCTGGTCAATAGTGCTTAGGAAATTTTTGCTATAATAGTATAGATAAATGTGACTTAATCTCATAACTTTAAGACATCACTTACAAATTCATTCACAGATGAGGAGAAAAAGATAGGTCGTGAACTGACGTGCTTCAGTGTTCTCTCCTGTTGTCCCTGTCACTGAGGGGGCACTATCCCTGGGGAGGCTAGTAGGGGTGTTTGGATGTATTACAGTATGGGGTCCTGGTGGTAGGGGAAATCAGCACTAGGTTTGTGAAGGGGCTAAAAATAAAATTTCTTTGAAACTTGTTGGCTGGTTATTACCGTCTTCCCAGTGACTATTTAGGTGTATTAGAGTAGGGATTGTCCCAGGAATATATAGCAAACAGAATGTCTGCTTTGAACAAACTATTTCAGTGAGCTGAAATACATCACAGCAGATACAGTATGTTGTTTTCCCCTTTTAATCCAAATGAATTCCCTCCTACCAGGTACATTTCTCATTTGCCTGTGCTTGTTCTTTAATGTTTTTTTAAAGGCTTTGCATCTTTAGATTTTAGCTAAAACTATCACACTATAACTCCTCTAAAGCCAGTCCCACATTATCTTCAATTATTTTCCCATAGTTTATATATTTGTGTGTTTAATGTATTTATCCTACTAGACTAAAAGTATATGAGGGCAAAAACTGTCCTATTTTGTTAATTTGGCAGCTGGCAAATCATAAGTGAATATTACTGAATTAATAGCTAAATAGATGAGTTATGGGATAGCATATCTCTTTTAGCTGCTGCTTACCCGTTAACATCCTTGTATGCACTTCTTCTTGAGATAATCTTTCTTGTTCTCAAATTGCTTTCATTTGTAGTAGTAAGCACTACATAGGTTTGTAATATGAAAAGTAGGCAAAATTTGATATGTAAAATCACCCTTTTCAGCAGTATATTCACTATCTTTAATTTTTCCATATGTTTTAACGTTTGTGTTTTTTCTTTTAAGTCTATTGTCTATATGCTTGAGATGCTAGGTAATTTCAAAAGGGTAGAAATGTTTCTTTTTGAACATTTCAGTATTTAAAAAAACTAGCATTCACTCTGATGCCATTGGTAACTAGAACTGGTTGGGTTTTCTTGCTAGAAAGAAGTTGAGAATGCTGATTTTATACCATCAATGCAATCAGCTTTACTTCCCAGAACATAGTATAGCAGTGCAAGAGAGAGGGAGGCTTATCTACACTCTTTATCTTAAATCCACTGATTTAGCTACTTTAATTTCATAATACCAGTAGCACCTCCACTAGAGGGCAGAAAGTGGAAGAGAAAGGAGGTGAATTATAAATTCATACTTCGCTTCAGAATGCCTGCAGAAACTTTTGAGGATTGAATCCAACCCTTATTTTGTAAACTTAGTTAACCGTGGCCCAGAAAGACAATGTGATTTGTTCAAAGTAGAGCTGGCCTACAAATCTCCTAGACTCTATTTTCAGGCTTGTGTCTGTGCTGCGATAACATGTGATGTTGCCGTATCTTTCTTAGTAAGAAGAACACAGCCCTGAAATTACACTTCCTCCAGGGAATCCTGGTTCAGCAGATGATAGCTGGGTAACCCTAGGCTGGTTACTTTGACTCCCTAAATCTTTCTCATCTTTAAAATAAACATTATGTAGTACCTATCTCAAAGTGGTTGCATATAGAGGGCTTAGTACAAAGCCTGGCCACATACTAAGCTTAATTTTTGTGAATTAGAATAAAGTCAGATATTGAAAGTCTGGTGTTTGCAAAATTGATAGGTTCAGTGTTTCAACTATTTTACCATACTGTACCTTTTACTATGTCCTCTCATTTCAGAAACATAATACTGATTTTTCCCTCATTTTTTACAAATGTTTACTTTCTTCTCCCCCAGCAATAATATTCGAGGAACAGGTGCCTGGTACATACACAGTTTGTTGACTATGTATGGCCTCCAGCAGAATGGAGATAGATTTATTCAATAACCTCAAGTAATTTTTGAAATTTCCATTAAAATCTTGCAGATGTTGGATGAAAATCTTTTCAAAGAAAAATGCAATGTAGTCTTCCTTTTTCTTTTTGCCGATGTTTGACAACTGTCTTGGGTTTCCAATGGTGAGAGTCATCACCTTGTAAGCACCTGCTTTGCCGTCCTTGTCGCTTGCCTGAGCAAGAGCGGCCGCTAGTATGTGACAGGCCCAGAGTTGTGGCCTCTTGGTTTCAGCCAGGGGATGCCCTTGGCAGGAAATGGCGAATTAGGCTTATGGAAGAAGGTTGGGGGTTCCCTCCTCCCTGCAGCTTCAGCACAGTCTCAGGCAGTCTTGCAAAAGCAGTTTCTTCACTAAACTTGTAACACGGCAAGTTTTCATTTGCCTAATGCAGCTAATGCTGGTCCCTGAAACGTTAAATCTTTTTTGAGACAACACAGTTGGCCTTTAATTGACAGTGCCTGCAGTTATTTGGATTTTTACATGGCTTCGCTCGTGCCTAAAAGAAAATGGCCTAGGATACGAAAAGATTTTGGAGTGCCGAGAAGTAACTCCTGCTTCCAACCACTCTGTTCCCCACAGCCCAGACTTTCAGGTCTGGTCTTTATCGTGTGGCCCTTGCGGGTGTACGTTTGACGCGAGGAGCGGGGAGGAGGCCAGCAGTCCGTTTACCTTTCCATCTTCCCCTGGAAAATAACTTCTTTGAATGCAAAGAGGTGGGGTCGCGGAGGATCTGCCATCAAAGGTTCGTATGGGTGGGGCCCAGAGACTGGAGTGAAGAGGGAGTGGTCCGCGGGTGGGATCTGTTGTGCAGTCAAAATGTGCGGCCGCTGTTCCTTGAAGTTCGACTTCCCTCCTCCTGGGTGAGGAGCAGAGCATCCGTAGTTCCTCTCCCAGGGGCGGGTAGAGGAGAGAAAAGCGACCAAGATAAGAGTGGACAGAGGGAAAAGCGAGGCATGTTCCCCTCGAAACAGTCCCCTGCCCCTGCTCCGGAAGAGCGCTACCGCCCAGCCGCGGCTGCGGAGCGGGTAAGGTCCTCGGATCGCGCTCGGCCGGCACACGGGTCGGATGTCCTTGCCTTTCGGTTGAATTCAGGGTCAGCCTCTCCCCTGTTCCCTTCTCCCTTCGGGTCGCACCCTCTCCCGCCGCCGTCGGTGAGCTTCGGCTTCCCCAGCCGAGTGCTGAGCTCCCGGCCGCCAGTCTCCGGGCGCACCGTCCTCCCTCCCAAGGTCCTGGGCAGGGGTCCTTCAGCGTTCGAGTGGGGTCGTTCGGGAGACCCCGCTCTCCTTGCCAGGAGCGTTGCTACAGAGTCCTTCCTCGGCCGGGCGCCCTCCACGCATCCAGGGGGCTCGGCGGCTCGCGGCGCCCGGGAGGCTGCCGAGGGAGCCGTCGGAAGCCCGGGGCTCCACGGCCTCCTCGCGGCGCCCGCGGCGCCCGCCGTCTGGGAGGACGGCGCTGCCTGGCCTGCCTCAGACGAAAGCCCCCTTCCCAGCTGCGCGCGTCTCGGCTCGGGCCCCCTGAGAGCCAGGGGCGCTCACTGAGCCATTCTAAGCGTTGGCATCCCAGAACCGGTCCCACTTGCGAGGTGCTGGGAAAGCCTGCGTCCCCAGCGCGCAAACTGTCTGGCGCAGACCAGCCTGGGCGCACAGCGCGCCGGCCGCCGGGGGGCGCAGGTTCTGAGTTGCTCCGGGTCTCGCGGGCTCGGATCCCGTCCTGGGACGGCACAGCGATGCCACTAACTCGGTAGAGAAAAGGTAGGGCACAGCACTACGGACGGTCGCCTCTGACCTGGGGGCCCAGGAGCGGGATCAAATTTGCGGCTACCATTCTTCGGTGTCAGGGGGTCCCGGAATCCGCTCGCTGCTGCGGTGGTCCCGGCTGCGTGGGTCCGGGAGCAGAGGCTGGTCTCCTCCGGCAGGCTCTGAGGGCTGCGCGGGAGGGGAAGGTGGTGTCCTGCCGGATCCTGCTGGGACTCCCCCAGCTCCCGTGGCGGGCGCCCCGGTCGGGGCCGGTGGTGCCGCCCGCTCGGGGCCGGTGGATGGCGGTGTAGGCGCTCTTTGCGCGGCTTGGCAGCCCTAGGCAGAGTTCCGGGCGCTCGGGGCTGCGAGCTCGCCGGGCAAGCGGCTGGGCTGGGCATTCCCGGAGAAACTGTCCCAGCGGCTCGTGAAGTGAACCTTTCTTCCCAAGGGAAACTTTTCAGAAAAATGCACTTAAGACTAATTCTTGTATAAGACTACGATGCCTTATATGTGCACATTCGTAGTCTGTAGTCTTTTTTTTTTCGGTAAAGTAATTCACTGATGGAGGCCTAAGTAGAAAGGAGTGCTCGACTGCTGTGAGAAAGGGAGCCGAGCAGGACTCACTGGTAGGCATTCTCCGAGGACGCACATCTCAGCAGAAGGTGTTGAAATCAAAGATGCGGAAAAACATTAATTTCTGACATAACCCAGAGACAGAAGAAAAATGCTTTTATTTTCAAGTCAGAAAATCAATTTTTGTCACATAGCGGCTGGGCTGGGCATTCCCGGAGAAACTGTCCCAGCGGCTCGTGAAGTGAACCTTTCTTCCCAAGGGAAACTTTTCAGAAAAATGCACTTAAGACTAATTCTTGTATAAGACTACGATGCCTTATATGTGCACATTCGTAGTCTGTAGTCTTTTTTTTTTTCGGTAAAGTAATTCACTGATGGAGGCCTAAGTAGAAAGGAGTGCTCGACTGCTGTGAGAAAGGGAGCCGAGCAGGACTCACTGGTAGGCATTCTCCGAGGACGCACATCTCAGCAGAAGGTGTTGAAATCAAAGATGCGGAAAAACATTAATTTCTGACATAACCCAGAGACAGAAGAAAAATGCTTTTATTTTCAAGTCAGAAAATCAATTTTTGTCACAATGCAACATTTACCTGCTTGCTTGTATTACTTGTTGCTGAATAGTTTTGTTGTGTGAAATTACGTTACAAATTGGTCCCCCAAACCAGATTCCTAAGAGTTTAGAGGAGATGTCTGCATAGACATGCATGAGTTCTGGGCTGAGATTTGTACTAGGGTGAACCATTTTTAGAGTTATTTGAGTGTGGAATTACATAAATTTCAAAACCTCAGAATGCTGTAGAGCTTTATGTAAGGGAAGGGGTCTCTCACTAGAAAGTTTCTTACAGTGATGAAAACCTCAGCTAACCTTCCAGAAAAGACAAATAACAATTGCTTTATTAACCTCATCAAGTATATTTCCAGACGTAAGGAAACATTTTTCAAAGATGCAAAATTAATCCTGTCAGAAACCTTCCTGTTAATGCTGCAGAAATCTTAATAGCAATGGCACAGAGGCATCAGGGCCTCCACCACAAACCAGCTGAGGTTTTGTGTGGGAAGGGCACATTTCCCACAGTGGCTGCATCTGGATTTTGGCACTTGCTGGCTCTATTGCCCTGCAAGCCCCTCAGCTGCCCTTCTGCACTGCTGGGGGACCAGAAGAGAGTTTGGGGTAGAAGCTGAGCAGCCCAGTATCTCCAGAGAGTTGGCATCATTACTTTATAAAATCTGTATTTTCAAATCTCCATACTGTTAAGGAGGTACTGTCACTCATTTTTCTTTTTTTCTTCACCTTCAGCTTCCCTCCATGTAAAGACCTGTAGCTTTAGGGTTTCTGAGTATCTTTACTGCTGGGGGAATGAGTGCTCCCTGAGGACCAGGAAAGCTGTGATATTTTTTGCTGAATGTGTTCAAGGGAGAAAGGTTTATTTAATGTGCCACATATAACGTACTTTGGCCTTAACAAATTCTTCAACAGGTATGCATTCATGCATCCTGTTTGCCCCATCACTGTTCTTGGCATTCCATGGTGCCTGCCCAGCTGGCCGGCCAGAGGACACTGACCTGTGTAGAATACTAGATCCACACAAAGCGCCTATGTACCCCCAGACTTATGTGTCCTGTAAAATCTATCCCAACACACACATGTACACATACACTTGTGTTTTGGACTGTTCAGAGTAGGTAGAAATGGAAGAAATCACAAGAATGAAAGGGGCCATAGATGGTGTGCCTTGGTAGGTAACATAGGGCTTTTGGTAAATTCGAAAGCTAAATTCTTATCTCTTGTTCCACCCTTTACTCAAGGCTCTGGGTAAGGCAGACAATCTTGTTAAGCCTTGATTTCCTCATCCAGCAAAGGGGAATGGTACTATTGACCATCTATACAGACACTGTGAGGATTAAGGAAATAAATACACCTTAGAAATACTATGCACAATAGTTGTACATTCAGTTAAGTCTCCCTAATCTGTTTGTGCCTACGGAGCTGCTCCCATGTCAGACTCAGTGAATCAGCCTCTCAGGCTTTTCTCCACAGCCAGTTTGCTGCAATTCTACAGCCGTGCTTGCCAAGAAACCTACTGGTCACATGTGGTTATTTAATTAGTGTGTTATTTGAATTAATCAAAATGAAAAATTCAGTAGTTCAGTCTCACTAGCCCCATTTCAAGTGCTCAATAATCACACATAGCCTGTGGTTGCTGAATCAGTATAGATAGAACATTTCCTTTCCCAGCATAAAATTCTCTTAGACAGTTCTAGAGCTTTCTTTTGCCTGAGTGATAATTTAGCAAAACTCTGGGATGATAAAAGTGTTCCTGTTCAGCATCAACTTTTGCTTCTTTTCTCTGTCAAGGAGTGGCTCTGTATAGTTGAATCTCTTCTGTTTTTTGAGGTTGTTTACACTGCCAGGGTCTTTGTTGAATGATAGATAGCTAGATTCATTTATAGATCAGCCAAGAAGTATGTATTAGTCACAAAATCCTTGGGCATCTCCCTTCAACCTGGATGATTTTTGCTAATGTATTGTTTTTTTTTTTTCCTTCAGAGAGTTTGGGGCTTTATGGCTGATGGTTTTCCTAGTTTTAGATCAGAGACTCTGATATAACAAAGGGATGTTCTTCTTTCCCTCTTAACCTCTATGTGTTGCATCATTTTTTTACAAGGATGATAATAGTAGAATAATATGTCCAGTATTTGGATCAAAATCCACTGAGAATGCTTGATTTATTCAGATTTGAAACTAGTATTTCACCTTACTTTGTAGGACCCTTTCCCGAACTTACCACCATTTGACAGACTGTATTTTAATTCTTTGTTTTATGTCCCCTCTGACTCTTGGGATATAAAGTCCATGGAGGCAGAGATTTTTCTATGTTTTTGTTCTGCTAGGAAAGCGCCTGGCTCATAGTTGGTATTTATTAAGTATTTGTGAATGAATGACTGTACAGAGATACATTTGGAGCTAGCTGAGATAAATAGATGCTGTATTAGTTTCCGACGGCTGCTCTAACAAATTTTCACAAACTGGGTGGCTTAAAATAATGGAAATGCATTCAGTCACAGTTCTGGAGGCTGCAAGTCCAAACTCAAAACATCAGCAGTGCCACATCCCTTGAAGGCTCTAGGGAGCACCCCTTCCTCCTCTCTTCCTACTCCTGGTGGCTGCAGGCCCTCCTGGGCATCTGTCTGTTTTTTTGTAGCTTGTAGCTGTTGGCTTGTAGCTACATCCGTAAGTCTTTGCCTCAGAGTCACATGTCATTATTCCCTGTATCTCTGTTCTTTCCTTTTATTATGAGGACACTAGTTATCTTAGATTTGGGTCTTACTCTAATCCAGTAGTACCTCACCTGAACTGATTACAAGGGCAAAAACCTTATTAACAAGTAAGGTCACTTTCTGAGGTTTCAGGGGACATGAATTTTGGGGAGAC